TAATTTAAAGATAAAAAGTAAAAAGCTAATCGTCCTTACTTTACATTTGGACGGCTATTATTTAAAGATAACAATAGTAAAAGTAGATTCTTTTTTCATGTCACTTTTGTGGTTGTCTTCTTCTTCTTTATGTCCTTATCTTGTCGGCCATTATGTCTCTTATCTGCTGAAGTTCTTATCTCCTTCTCATTGGCTGTTTGTAGATTTCGTCTTCCTGTAATTGGTTGTTGTAGCTCTTCTTTTATCTCTTCAATGTCCAAAATCTTTTATGGCTTATTCCATGTTGAATTCTGGCACGATGTTGTCTTCTCCGTTACATTTTGTACATATGTGTTCTTGATATTTTGGTCCTATAAGCTTGCAGTATCTTGGCAATAGATTTTCTGTAATATAATTTTTCTTGATGGCTCTTGTCATGGGTATTTCTTCTGGCTTTATCAGACTGTTAATCCATAATCTTATATCTTCTAGGTCATGTCTTCTAATTTCCCTTGCATGTGAGTAGATCAGGGTTTGTTCTCTTGAGTAATATATCCACATTGGTACTTCATTTGTATACGTATGTACTAGCTCATTAAGTATAGTAGCCAATCCAATAATTCTTTTGTTTGCAAAGAAGTCCGGTATCTCTGTCTTGGGTATTTCGGGCTGTGCTTCGATTTGTTCCGGTATAATCATTTCTTTAGTCAATCCAATCTTAACAACTTGTATAATAGGTTTGATTTCATCATATAATATTTCTGCTGGGGCAGTATAGAATCTTACATAGAAAAAGGTTCCTTTAGTAACTCTTTTGTAGGTAGTAAATGCTTTATATACTTCTGTAATGTTTACTATCTCTTCTCCTGTAGTAGTGTAAACAGTACTTAGTAATCCGTAATTGTAGCAAGTGCTTACTAAATTTGGGTTTGTACCTGGTAGGGCTATAAGTTTATTATGTCTCTGTAAGTGTTGGGTAATATAGTCTTTTTCTGGGTTAGTGGTATTTCTGGATCTTGGGTTTAAGTTTAAAAATGTTTGTAATTTGTACATATTGTCTATGTAGGTGCGGGATATGTGGTTGTATGTCCTTTTAGCTTGGTTCAGACTTTCTGAATAAGTAATAGTTTGGGGTTGCACTACAACTGGGTTTTTTGATGTGGGAGTATATGGTTTTTCGAATAATTTGTTGAGGTTGCTATTTTTTGGTTTTACAGGTGTCTTCATTGTAGATGAGCTACTTGCTGTACCTGCATTAATAACACTGTTATGGGTTTTTTGGAGTTTCCCAACGTCTCCATCTAGTTCCGCATTTTTCAAGTCATGCTGCTGACCACTAGTTGTTTTCTGTAGTTCCGCATTTTTATAGTCATGCTGCTGACTTTTAGTTTCTTCTAGTTCTTGCAATTTCTTCCCCATGTTATCTACTTGTAAAGATAACTTGGAAATGATTGCGTATAGATCTTCATTTGCCGGTATATTATCCGTTTGTGTACCCTTGTCTTGATATGTAATCT